TTACTTAAGGAAGCGAATGTTAAAACCATGGAAATATCATCATATGGTTAGTCTTAGCTTGTAAAGGAAGAGTTCAAGTCTGCTTCTGTTGTTCCTTCCAACATAGTATTTCACTGACCTGGATTTTTCCTACTTTTTAAATAATTTGATTAAAAAAACCATAAAGTGCTTCCTGTAGTAAACAACTGTCCTGAAAAGCGCTTGTAAAGCATAGCTTTCAAGAGATTCCAGCTCCTCCCTTTTGTAATCACATACAAAGGTAATGTTTACTATAAAGTAAGAACAGTCGTTGTCATGGGTACTCTGAAGTTGCAATAGTGGCACAAAGTGTGCTATGAAATTATCAGGTTCCCAAGAAATATACCAGCCGTGAGTAAATTCAGAGCTTCTGAATCCACAGGTTTTTGAAGATCTTGTCAAGTTTCTTCTTTGTATAACGTTTCAATTTCAAGCTGAGTAGACTCATTATAAAATAACATTATGCCAAGCTGTGTAATTAGGGTTTGCACTTGCCATGCCGAACTGCCAAAGCGATCAGTGGAATCCTGGGCGTTTGACTTCAGGCAAAGAAAGTTGTATCAATGTTTTTTTTAAAAATGCAAGACTGGAGTAGTGGATCTTTTTAAAACCAATCTCTTTTTATTCTTAAAGCTATGAAATCTGGAAAAGAATCCTGGAAAAAGAGAGGAGAAATATTTTGCAAATCGTTAATTGCAAAGAGTGCTGTCGTTTCACTGGTATTTCCCTACCTCATCGTGTGGAGAGGATTCCCTGCAGAGATGCTGGAGCAGCAGAGCGTGATGGTAAGGCTGGTCCTTTGTTGAGATGTTGTCCAGGAGACTTGATAAACAGTGCTCCTCCCAGATTACATCATCTGGTGTCAAGTTCTCTTTATAATTGCTTATGATCTTTTATCAGAGTTCATCTTAGCACTTTCGAAAACTCTTGTGTATAGGAGCTACCTAGGATAATATGTTTCTATATCTGCTGTCTCTCAGAGCAATAGTCAGAATAGTGAGTTATCTCTGTGCAGAATAACTGAACCCTTCTTGCTGATTGTTTTCTTCTCTTGTACCTTCCGTATTTCATGCATCTCTGATAGGTATTTTACACTGTGCAGTCTGTTTTTTTTCTAGTTTTCTCCCCACTGCTTGTCTCCCTCTAATCCTAGTTTTTCTAGTTTTTTTAATCCTAATTTTTCTCTGAAAAATTGCTGCTCTGGCACTTAGCACTTCTTTTCCTATCTGAACCACTCACCAGCCCCTCACTTCATTAATGCATCCAGTATGTGCTATGATTAAATATGCTGCAAGCAACATAAAAGACTTAAATTCTTCTTTAAATGTGAACATACTGGAAGTATTGTTATTAGGGCTGACCTCAGATTCACTGTTAAATATGCTTTCATAGTAAACACAACAATTGCATCTTGGTAGCCTTGCCATGTTATATTAAAATAATTCTAATAGCTCTTTCAGAAAACCATTTACAAAAGTTCACTGCCCTTTCAGATGGTCCTCTCTACACAAACCATTCATTTTCTTGACATTTCAGCTATGTTTGACAACATCATTAGCTTGTAATTTGGACTGATGACAATTAACAGCTCAACTTTCCTCTAAATATCTGCTTCACAAAATATTACATTTTGGATAAAACTGTTAATTTAAGTAGGCTAGTATTCTGAAATATTAGTAAGAATTACAGACTTACCTGATTAGTAAAAAGAGTCTTGAAGCCAAGTTGGATCCAAGCACTATGCGTGTAGAATGATGTATGTGTATGAAATTGAATTCAGAGTTGGACTTTGAATGGGATTTTCTAAAGATCTTAGCTGAGTTAATAGGCCTAGTGTCACTGGGGCTTTTGCATTTAACTCTTACTGGTGCTTAAAAAAATCCTTCTGTCATTTCTATAGACCATATGAAACACTTCTATTTGAATAACAGCAAAAAATCCAAATGTGATCAAAATCCATATTTTCAGCATAGATGCATTTCCTTTTCTTTTGGACAAGTAAAGAGAAGGCAGGCTAATAGTTATATTTTATATTGCTGTAACAGAAACTGACTTTTTGCTTATTGCTGTAAACTTGTATATGATTTAGTTGACTTCCTAAGCAAACCTTTGGGATGTGCTGAAAATGAAAGAAATAGCAAAATTATTTTAAAGATTATATTTACACATTTCTGTCTCGCAGTTGAATTTAGTTCTGGATAGATGACAGAGGAAACTGAAATGCTCTGTTTCAACCCACAGCTCTCCTCTAGCCTCTATTGATTTGACTTTTATCTTTCTGGACAGCTGATTTCCTTTGGATGACAATATATCCCAGCTTTACCTCTTGTTTCTTCTGCAGATAATTAGAATAATAATGCTTATTATTTCTTACTTGGAAAGTGGCATGCCATGTAGGCATATATGGAACTGGAAGTTAGACTTTTAGTTATCCACATATTTCACACGGGATACTCAGTAGCTTGTGACAAATTTGAAAAGTTACTGACCTAAGCCTGATATGAACTGGTGGCCATGCTGTGTAAGCTGCTGTATCTTATTAGTAGCCACATGCGTCAACATCAACACTTGCCGGAGAAGTACAAAACTGTTAAAAATCTCCTCATTAAGAAAATATTCTTGGGGTGGTATGTGAACAAGTACAGAAGTGTGATTGTAATTTACAGATGAATCTTACAGGAGGAGACCATTAAGTAAAAACATACAAGGAAATACGAAGATGATTTGATTTCAATGTATCTCTCTAGCAGCACTACCCTTATCTTTGGTAAGGTATCTTTATTCCGAGTAGATACTAGTATCTTAAACTTCTAAAATAGTGTCTGTAGCTTCAGATAAAACTTTTACTACAGGAGAAGGAAGGCAGGAGGAAACAGAAGGGGAATGGGTAAGAGGAATGGGAAAAGGGAGGGAAAGTAGAAGGGAAAAGTAAAGGGAAGGGGAGGGATGAGATTTCATGTTAAGAGGATTGCATAAAAAATAGATTTCTGCTAAAATGTACTGTCAGCCTGTACATGTAAGTGAAATAAAAAATAGCAACCAAACAGAAGAAGAAACCCAAGCAGACAGAGAGGAAAGGGACAAGTTTAATTGTAGAAGACAAAATACAGATTTTGACAGTGGAAAACAGATAGAAGGAAGATCTCCAAAGGATTGAAATATTGCTACTTTCTGTTTTCAGGCAAATGCAGTATAATTCTTTCATGAAGTTTCCAAACTATTTTTTTCAAAATTTCCCATTATTCCCCTGAATTTTAAGAGGAAAATTGATCACTTGATTGTTTTCTTCTAATGCAGCCAGTGTCCCAGTCCAAAAGTTAAAGGGGAGAGCAGGATTTAGGAGGTCCAAAATTCAAAGCAGTGATTTTTATTGGCTTGATTAGACTTTGATTTCAGTCTGTTTTCTGCATGTACGACCAAATGTGTTTTTCACAGATTTGACTGCAGTTTGTGTTACCAACATGGGACCAAACTAAGGAGATTTTGTTCATAATAGGGAATGTATTCTTTATCAAAATAGATAGTTCTACTAAAACCCCTGTCATATAAAAGGTCCATAATCTGGTCTGTAGTTTCAGCTTGGGATGGATTTTGATACTCTTAGTTGCGTGAAGCAACACCTTGTTTCAGACTTAGCACCACTGATGTTAAGAGAACTGCCTACTGTAAAAACATGCTAAACTATTCAAATATAGCTACTTGATTTCAGCAAGACTGTGTATTCACTGCAATATTATACAGTAGGTTTCAAGACCACAGACTCTTCAGTACTTTCTACAGTAGCAGTATTTCAATCCTTACTCCCCAGTACAAGGAGGAAGTATAAGACCAGAGTAAAAAGATTTGAAGTGGGAATAAGCACTGTGAAGCCTCAAGTGAAAATAATAAAATATGTACGAGAGACCAATAGGAAATTATGGTCATATTTATGATTTACTGTTAAGTGCTAATTTCTGTGGCATATACTACTCTGGTTGCAAGAATCAGTACTCCTGAATATATGTATATCTTCAGTTCTCAATCGTGCTTTCACAAGAAACATTAGCAGTACATGGCTGCTGCAAAACCAGCTCACCTCTTGACTGTTCAATGATTTTGATTTACTGCCTTCTATCTTACTTGGTGGATTCAAGGCAAACTTTGGCTAAAAGTATGCCTGCACTTGGGATGTCAAATTTCCCCAAAATGGGAAATCTTTAACAATTCCTGCAGCTGTCTTTCCACCTCTTTTAAGTTAGTCTTCAGAACACTCCAGCATCTCTGATAGCACATTCTCTGTGAAATCACAGAGGCAATTCATTGTTTTGGATCACAGCTGATCCACATAGCTTACAAACTAAGCCCCTGGCTGATCAATCAGATTCCAGTGGAAGGACCTTTGAGCCAGGACAGATTGTGACTGAACTCAGTGGGCTCTGTGCAGACCAAAGGTCCATCCAGTTGTATACTGCTAGTGATCAGTCAGAGTCTAGAACTGTATCTATTTTATGCTATGTTAGTAATACGTATTACTATTACTGTCATTTAATAAGGCACTTCTTTTATTTAAAAAAAAAAAGTCCTCAGATCCCTAGGTCATTAGAACATATCTGGGGAGGGATGCAGAAAGAAAGCTCTTCTCTCTTAATTGGACATACCAGGGATATTGCTTATTGTTATTTCTATTATAGTAGTTCTAAAGCAAAAACCTAGTGTCCTACTTACTTAATACAACGGTATCTATTCCTTCCAGGATGTTATGTGTACAAAGCATCTGATAATATGCATAGGTATGCTAAAATTTGTATCTATTTTGATATGCTTAAAAAAGTTCAAATACTTTGGACCCAGATTTGAGGTGATATATCTGATGTTATTAAATAAGAAATACTATTGGCACCATTTGTGTGCCAGGTTACCACTGCAAACAATTTATTGCAAGCAAAATGGACACTAGGTTTTGGCTATAACGTCTACTCTTCAATAATTGATGGCTTCCACACCTGTGCAGTGACACCAACTTTCTTTGCAGAAAATTTTGGCCTTGGAGCAATAAACGAAGAGGATGTGGTGGTTTCTGGCTTAGAAAATGCAGAGTAGCCTGTAGGTGAATATGATTCATTCACTGGGACAGAGGCATTTGACTGGATCGAAGCTTGTGAACTGTAGGCTGGCACAGAGTACACTGAAGATGCCCGAGCGTTAGTAGGAGAGCCAGCACCAGGTGGTCTGAAAGGCAGAGCTTGCTTTGAAGTGGATAGCTTTGATGTCTGCTTAATAGCTAGGCTTTCCTTAGTACTAGGAGGTTGAAAAGTAAATAAAGATGCATCAAGTTGATAAGGTTGATGTTTCATAATATCCAAAGCATTGAGACCTTTCTTAGGTTTTCTTTTTGTATTTTTGGTAGCAGCAGTGGATTTAGAGGAAGGCTTGTTAGCGGCAGGAGGATAAGATGGGCAGTGGATGGGATTATAAGCAACAGGTGGAGGTGCTCGGACATTAGATGAGTATTTCCAAGAAGCTGGTAAAGATGGAGTCGGAGATGGGGCTCGTGCCATGTTTGCCTGCACAGTCTCTGAATCTACCACATACTTCTCCATTCGAGAGTGCCTTCTGGCAAATAACTGTGCTCCTTTTCCACTCATAGCTGGTGGCATCTCAAAGGGTGGCTTTGTTTCTCCAGCACTCGGTGTGACTGGTGTCTTGGGTGTATGGTTTGGACTTGCTAGGGTTGCCTGAGGCCCTTTGAAAGGACCAGCTAGGTTGAGAGTACTTGGAGGATGGATGGGAGAATGAGGATACTGTGGAGATTTGAGTGGTGCAGGATATGCTGCCTGAGGTGAGGCTGGTGCTGGGAAAGGAGGAGCCTTGTTAGGAGCCACGGCTGTAGGTGACCAAACTGGTGAAACTGGGGTACCAGCAGTAGGAGACACCTTGAGTGAAGGCTTTGGAGCAACAGGAGGAGGGGCCTTTTGTTTAGATGCTTGAGTCTGCATGAAATTGCAAGCTTCTGCTCCCAAACTGAGGTAGTCTTCTTCAGGTCCTGACTCAAAACCAGCTCCAGTACCTTTTTTGCCCTCTGCATTGTGTACAAGGGACAACAGGGCAGGATTAGGACTTACTTTGGGCGCCTCTTTGAAAGTGAACATAGGTTTTGCAGTGCTTCTTCTCTTTGCCTCTTGCAGTATCCCAGTTCTTTTGGCTGGCACCGCAATCCTTTCATCTCTGGATGCTATGTGTTCTGTTGGCTCGGTAAGTGACCACACAGCTGGGGCAGCTCTGCTGGCTACAGGAGCTGTAACAGGTCTGTAAAATGCCTCAGGGGGTGGGCTAATAGAGCAGTAAGGAGGTGGTGCTGGTATATCTGAAAGAGGACTAGTGACATTTCTTGTGGGTGAAAATGGTGCAGCTGCTCGGTTTTGAACCCCAGAAGGAAAGGGTTTAGCTATTTTATTCAAAGACGCTGTTTTTTGAGCTTCAGAAGCCTGAAAAGAGAGGTTTGTGTGCGGTGCTAAGCCAAAGCCATTTTGTTGTACCATTTTGCTATGATTCTGACTCACATCTGTGTGATGTGAGCTTTTGCTCACACAGGTCTGCCGTCTTGACATTTCTTCCTCTTTTGTTTGATAGACTGAAGAGCTTACTTTCTGGAAGTTCTCCAATGTGGAGGCTTCCCGTTGTTCCTCTGTATGCACTGTGTGCGTCTTCATCTCCTCTTGCTCAGCTGTGATCTGATCCATCCTCTGCCGTCTCTTGGCAAACATGATGGCCCCTTTACCGGTGCTCTCTGGAAGCGTCTGCATCTCGTCTCCACTTTTTGTCTTCTTTTCAACCTCAAGTAGACCACTGTCCCAGTCAAATGTCACAATCTTGCTGTTATTGTCAATGTCAGAGAAGAAATCTTCATCTATTTCTGACTCACTTGTTGCAAGCAAACTTACTTCAAAAGTGTTTTCTTTGTCCCCCTCTTCACCTTCACCTTCTTCACCCTCTTCTTCGTCACGTTCCAACTCCCCAGTACCGTAGCTGACTAAAGTATATTTCCTCGCCCTTTGACGACGCTTCTTGAACATCAACACCCCCTTGGAATTGGGATTGGGAGCTGCCGTCAGCAGCAAAGCAATACTTTTACATTTAGATTTGGCTTCTTTGACCTGCTTCTCTGACAGACTCTCACTTCGACGGAGCCCTATGGGAAGAACCAAAGTGCACGTTTAATTGCATGTAGCCCACAAAAATACAAGGAGACTAATAACAAATAATTCTACATTTATCTATACTGAACTTTATCCACTGCCCCCTTCCCCATATTAAAATATTTATTTTCTCTTCCATGGAGAGGTCATTATTCTTAAGCTTCTCCCACAATATCATCTGTGTTGTAAATATATCCAGAATTCCACAGAGTCACACCCATGTAAGTTCAAAGGCTACATCACTTTCTTTAGGACTTTCTTAATTCAACAGGAGCATTATGTGTGTCTTTATTTCTAGCTTTCTCAATTTCTGTTCCTATAAATAATCTCAGCAGGCAGATGATATTTTCTGATTTATTCACTTTCTATGGTCTGGTATTTACCAAGTATTTGACCACAGTTCATAGGCTTACAGCAGACATTCCCAGCCAGCCAGGCCCGTTACTGCTTAACATCTGAGACCAAATGTAACTCAGTGTATTCTGTCTGATGGTGGTAGAAGCTTCTGCCATTTATGTGCTTATTTTACTAATATGCATTTATAAAATGTGTGATAAAAGTCAGTATGCTTCTATGTATTAGCTATTTAAAGGCAAGTATAAATCCACAAAGGCATACACAGAAACTATTAGAATTAACTTTCAGCCCCTTGGAAGATGTGGGAGTTTGGCCATGGTACTCAATGAAAGCAGGTTTCAGCCTTTTAACAAGCATCACTTGCCTGAAACATAATCCAAAATTGTATGGGATATAACAGCTCCATATTTAATATGAAAGTGTGGCAAGAATGAATACACATTTAAGAACTGAATGGAGGAGGGTTGGCTAACTTCTGAAGAGTATTAGCTAGCGTACGTCACTGGCATATTTCTTAAAGCATAAACTATTGGTTTTCATCAAGCCATGTCGAACAGATGCAGTTGTAAAGCTGAGAGGCACTGTACATCAGCATGACTGCTCCCTTGTTACGTGACATGGAGCATGTGCATCATGGGGCAACGCAGGTCAGGTGGTGTCGCTGTTTCTTTCCCTTCCTTATCTTCTGTGACTGCATCTCATGAATGACAGCCTCAGTAGCTTCTCCTTTTAAAAAAGGTAGAATTTAAAGCTGTTCCTGCCTAAATCAATGGTCTCCTTCCACTTAATATCAAAAGGAAAAAGTATGTCTCTAATATATGAAAATAGAACAGTAAATTATTTTACTAGCATAAATAAAGGAAATTCACTTAAAAAAGACATGTGATGTATTTTCTGTCAGTGATCCTTTTATCCATGTCGGTAGATCTCCTATTATGTTTAATCTCCTATTAAAGACAACTGGAAGTTTTGCCACTATGCCATGTGACAACATGACTGGACCAATGGTTCTCACAAGAACCTATAAAAGAGAAAAGAGCAGAGCACCCGAACCAGCAATTTGTAATATTTTGTTTTGAGAGGGCCAAATCACAAAATTCTTGGCTCAGTCCTTTGACAATCCAAATGCTTTCAGTAGTCACTGAAGACATTTTCCAAAAGTATGGGCTTTAGCGTTGGAGTACCTCTGCAAACATAAATGGTTGCCCTTCAGAATGCAAGTTCTGTGCTTTCATATGCGCTACTTGCATCAGCAGTAAATGTTTTTCTAGGAAGGGAATTCAGCAAGTACCCATACAGTTCTGTGGAAAGCAAAAATGGAAAATTTTCATTTTGCTAGCTTATTTTTTCTTAATTCATCTGCATAGTTACTTAATCAATAGTTTCAAAAGATGGCAGAAGACATGTTACCTGCTCAGGTAGATATAATCTGATTACTATTTACAGAAAAAATTTATGCTAAAGACATCAAACACCTATATTAAATGTTCTTCTCTAGACTTAAATTAAGTGTTATATCTTCTATTTTTACAAAAAGCATGCATAGTATTTAGTGCACACAGACCATTCCTCTATGCTTGCAATTTGTTTGTTCTAATGTGTAGATAGGATTTTATGAATAATGAAAAATTAAATAATTATGAAACAGCAAACTTTTTTTAGATTAAGTCAGTGATTCCTAAGGCTAGTGACCTGCCCCTAGATCAGAAGGAATTGACACTGCCATAGTTGAGATGGGAAAAGGACAGAATCTATGCCTTACTTGAAAGAATAATTTATTATGTAGTATGTAGTCCATTCTTTATACTTTTGCCTTATTAGACAGTCACTGCAAGTAATTATCTAGGAAAAACAGGTACAGACCCACAGTTGTTTCTAACTTTGCAGCCAAAATGCAAAGCATGTGCACTTTTCTTTTATGCTTCATTCAATATGCCAAAAATATGTGGATTGCATACAGACACTTAGGCATAAGTAACTGCTTAATCCACTTGCCAATAAGATACAAATGGTTATCATGCTAAAAATATGCTTACAGAGGAATTAACAGCGGGTTAGCAGACTAATTCCAACACTGCATATGAAATAGCTTGTTGCTACAGTATATCACTGCACACATTCAAGCACCTTTGACATACTGCTACTAAATCTCTGGACAGGATTCTTAACATTGTTGGGAAAGAGCAGGCAACCAATAGAAAGGTCCCGGATTAATAAAATAAGAAATAAATAAATAGTGTGTGCCTACACTCAGTTAATTAATATTGAATCCAGCTGCAAGTTTACTTTCATATAAATTTCTTGGACACATTTTGAAGCTGACCTCTGAGTATGGGAGTCAGAAGAAATTGCATGTTCACTTTACAGTCTAGAGAAGACTGACAAAACTGAAAGGATCATGTAACAGTTATACACATGCTAGTGTCTGTCAAAATCGCTGCAGAGTGCAACATCAAGCTTTTCTACTAGCCTTTTTTATTCTTAACTTTTAAGAGCAGTCGCATGGCCTTGATTTTAGAGGTTGCAAATGACAACACAAACTTTCTGCTATAAAAGGAGAAATCCACAGGATTCATTTAGACATGTGCAAGTAATTACCTTTTTTTATAATATTCTACAGATTGCCTCTGAATGCACATTAGAAGACCAGCAGGATTCAGCCCTTTTTGGAGATGTAAGTATTTTTAGTTGGACAAAGTCATGAGTTAATTTCAGAGTGGAAGTCTGCTAAGCAAAGTTATTCAGCACAGTTAAGGCATGGGTATACTCTTGGCTCATCACCAGGATGTATTACCTTGAAAAAATATATAAAGCAAGAACAGAAACATAATTTAAAAGAAAAAGAGAGAGGGAGAGTTAGAAAACTGCAGAAAAAAATTCTGAACATTTTTTTTCAAATGCAGTCTAAATTCTGAAACTATGTTTAAAGTCACAAAAGATACCCTCAGGCAGTGCAAATGATTAGATGGGACATACTTACTTGCGTGCCTCGCTCTGTGCTTGAGAGGTCTGTGATCCCTTTCTGAGTGCTGGTTGTCTTCTCCCTGCTCTATGCCTTCTGATGAGATTGCAAAGGAGGGAAGGGAAGGAGGTGCTTCCGACTGCCCTCCTTCCACTTGAGAATCAACACACCCCCTTTCAGCTAGAGACCTGGGTGCTTCCTTCTCCCTGTCTGAACAGTCTAGGATCACCTCCACCCTGGGAAGAGATGGAGCTGCACCTTGGATCCTCTTGACCTCTTTGCCACTAGAAAACTGGACTACTTTGTTTGACCGCTGGATGTTGCCCTCTTTCACGCTCAGGGGAATTGCCATGGCAGGGCTAGTCCCATCTTGTTGTACACTGGGTGCTCTTCCTGAAGGGGTGCATTTTTCTGCCCCTAAGAGAGTCACAGCAGGAGCATTGATGCCCTTGTGTCCATCATTTGAGAGGGACAACTGCAGCTCAACCATAGTGCCTGGCCTTCTTTCTTCTGTCTTCCCTCTGAAAGCAGCCTCATCTGTCACGAGCACTTTGGAGGTTCCTATCACTTTAGGAGTGATTCTGTGGCTTTGTGTGGTCTCTTGTTTAATTTCAGAAAAGTGTACGTTGCTTTCTCCTGCTCCCTGGTGAGTCTCGCTGTATATCTCTGTGATGCATAAATCTCCATGGGGTATCTCTTTTGTTGCATTAATTTGCAGTGTAGTGCTCTCCCTATAGTCCTCATTTTTTATGTTATCATGCTTTCCATTTTCTCTTTCAGCATTCAAGGTTTCATTTGTTCCACTGGAGGATCTGCACATACATAAACAAGTAATTCAAGAAGTTAAACTGCTGTAAGCACAGCAATTGTAAGTACAGTTACAAAAACAATTTCTGTATAGTATTTTTACCCCTATATTAACTGCGGTACCTGCTAGCAAGTCCATTTAAGTGGAAGAATTTTGCCAGAATGTAGTGGCCTTAAATTAAAGCATCTTTGTATTTTTCAAAATTCTTCAAATTAACATTTGAGGGAAATTACACTATTGCAGTAGAACTATGATCCTACTACCATCCTTCTGCAATGCTGAATTATATCATTCCTGACATCAGTATGCTTTCACAGACACACTTCTGTTATAGTGTCTCCAGACAAATGCTACTGAGACTTCTGGGACAATACTTCTTCATATTTCACATGTGCATGAGAAAATTAACTGTGCATGACACCAGAAGTGTGGTTAATTTTTGGATCTGTGGCTACTACTGCCACTGTTTTAGGCACCATCCTCACACACAGTTCCTGTCCCAGATAGTTTACTCTCTAAGGAATAGATAAGTACTGGATGAATACTTAAAATACACATTCAGAGAATTCCTGTGAGGATCACCATCCTTATATACCAGGAATAATTAAAACATTCTGGTCCTATTCCAATGATCCAGTGAAAAACAGTAGTGAACCCATACAGTGTTTCCCGTTTACTAAAAGAATACATATTTCTAACTGGCGAAGCTTGCTTTTACTTCCTGAAGCCTACTATACAATGCAGTGTAGCTCCCTTTTTTAAACTGTTTATTCCTCTGGCCCAGTTAGGCTGTTTACTGGCGTTAGGACTCCTAGTGGAATCTCTAGCTGCTTCTTTCAGTAACCTGGGACATACTGACTACTAATAATTCAAGAAGAAACCTTTTCTGTACAACAGGACCGCAGCATGTTATTAAGGCTTTCTGTTGACTAGAACATAGCAAAGTACTTTTTCAAGTAAGGGAAGCAGTAGGTACCCTCAGTAAAGTATTAATATCAAGTACTATAGAGATTTCTGAACTCAAATGTGAGTCCCAGGTATTCTGAAACTTTGGAACTCCCTACAAAGAAAAGCTGGGAGAAGCAACAGAAGAAATAAATGTGTCAGTGCTCTGAAGAAGCTTCAACATCACTTGCTTTTTCTAGCCATACAACATACTGTCTGGGTATGCCTCAAATAGCACAAAATGTATAACATCCATTAAACCACATATGGAGCTCCTTAAAGGTCAGACAGATTTTAATTTAGCGAGCTCCTTGTGAGTGCTGCTGGATTCTATCATATTATGCTATTTGGATGATCAATTGTGCTGCTCTTAAGAACAGATAAATTACAGAAATCTGTAAACATTTCCTTGTAAGATAGGAGACTGGGGGCTGGGCCAGCTAAATGCTAGCCTTTATTGGTAGCTGAGCGATTGTGTGTATGTGTGAGAAAGATTTCCACCTTAAAAGGCCCTTGCTACTTATTGATATATTTCTACTTTATATAGACATGTCTATAAATACGTATCCCTGTGTCAAGAGGCAGAATACCAAGTCTGATCATTTTGTCATTTAAGAGTCTATTTTCTCAAATTATTATTTTTGTTTCAGGTCTTTCAAGCTAACTGCAGGAACAACACCCCTGGTGTAATTCCAGGAAGGAAGCAGATCTCATGAAGTCAGCACAGCAGGGTTTGTCTCAGAGTCATGTTTTACTCCCTACATGGTGCATTTCATTTTGGTATGCACTGAGCACACTCCCTGCTTCCCCCTAGAAATTTTCTTTCTAGACTCAGCAGTAGCCCAAGAGTAGCCAACACTGATGTGAAAAGGGCAGGCTAGCGTTTCTGTTTCTGTCCCCACTCTCTGTTTCCTGGGTACATCTGTTCAGCATTTGTCGGGAGGGTCAGTAAGATGCTCCCTCTTATGGCATCTTGGGAGTACCTGCTCTGCAGGGTATCTCTTTCTTCTGATCCTGTAAACTGAAGATTTTGTGGGGACTCTTGGTCAGTAACTGACTGTGGTTTACAGGGGATTGGGAAAACTTTTTATAGACATCAAAGCCCAAGTAGCGTTTTAAAAACTACTTTAAAAGCCTAGTTTTCCTCCCAGTGACCTCAGTAAGAGCAGAATTAGGCCAACAATTAATAAATCCTTCATGCAAATATTTCAGGAACAGCCAGAAGCCTCCCAAGGAGAAATATTCTTCGCTGCCAGCGAAACATGCTTGGATGCAAAGATGACCACTGGAACACCAATTTAATTAGGCATTATTTCCTTATGATTTCCAGTGTTTTCTTGAGATGCCTGCTAACAAGTCTTTACCAAGGAAAGGAAGGATTTCCTTCTGATTGCTCTCAGAGGATGCTAAAAAACTTCCTGAAAAACCCTTCTGGTGGTAGTGCTGAGAGTGTTACTACCCATGAAGGAGGTGGCAGAGGAAGAGAAGTGTTTCAGTTTATTCTCCCCTACCCTGGAAGATACTGACAGTAGGGGCTGGGACTTGGAGGAGATGAGCTGATGAGAATAAATTCAAAGATTCTCACAGGGAATTTTTTAAAAACATTTTAGTCACCTTCAGAGCAAGCCAACTGTTGAGCAACTGCATTTTTCTGAAAATTTCTAACAGAAACAGAGTTTCATTCCACAAAATGCTAAATTATGTGATCTAAGCACTCTATTTTGTTTCTGATTTTCAGGACATGTCTTACCCTTCACCATCCATTCAAGTAGGGGAAATGGAGTGAAAGAAAATGTGCTGTCACTTTCAGCTAGCGTGTAGTGTGGCCTTCAAACCAACTGAAATACCAATTATAGAGCAGCAACAGGCAAGAGTCAAAGCATATGGAGCTATTTCTATGACTGCAATGAAGACAGCTGGTCAGCCACAAATATCATTCTTACAAATGCAGTTCCAGTAGCCATGTTATGAATTAAAAATGTAAGAATGCAGATATCACATGAGAAGCATTAACCAGAAACAAGAGCTATGCACTATGGAGAGGATAAGCTGTAATCCTCAGCTATTGCTGTTCCCCTGATCTCATCACATTGGTCACTCAGCCCAAGACAACATGAGCAGACAGACCATACAAAATGTCTGTTAGAAATAAAATGAGTACTCCTTGAAAGCATCTTGTTTTGAAGGCAGGTTGTAACAGAACTACTAGACACTTCAGGAAAGTTTCTTTGTGCAGGTTGCAGGAACCACAGAACTTCACGTGCTGTTTAGACATCCCTGGTAACCAGAGGCAAGTGTCTTTTTTGCACCACAGACTTTCCAGGGCTGCTGCTCTGCTATCTGTTGTGTTGAATCCTGACCCCTTCTGTCCTGCTTCTACCTGTGTGAGAGCAGACACAGGGAACTGCAGTAGCTCACGGGGAAGCCGTAATTCCTTACAAGGAGTGTGGGAGTCTCAGGTCTTCCTCTTCTTAACCATACTGAAGGCAATTTAGAGTTCATCTTTGTGAATTCACAAAGTCTGGGGAGAATGTGCTTACTATAGGTGGTTCTGTACTCAAGCTTGCATGTATTCTGCTGATGACAATTACAGAATAGTCATTAGAATATACTGATGTGCAGAGAGCAGTAGCTCTCTGGCTTGCAAATTTACATGAAGGGTCTCTGCTCAAAGCATTTTTAAAGAAAACTGAAATTCACTATCACTGTTTTATAAATGGAGAGGCTGAGACCCAGAGAGCTGTGACTTGCCTAACCTCATCTAGTGAAGTGATAACAGCTACAGAAATAGAATTCATGATTGCCAGACTCTCTCCCCCTCCTGACTACTAACACATTTTGCCACCCAAGAAGACCATTTGCCATGTCATCATCAAGGCATATCTGTGTAACACACTTTCTCCATCTATGCAGCCTTTGCTTTTTGTAAGCCTCACTTCCCTATCTGTGGGGAAAAGCAACACTTCACTGCTTCAAAGGGGTGGAAAGAATAATTGTACTCAAGACTCTGCAGTATGCAGATATAGTAGTGGATACCATGTAAGTATTAAGAATACTTAATAAGAAATAAAATTTTTACTTGGAGACTGTACTCTTAATTCTGAGCCTGAACTGTGCTATTTGAATTGTGCACATTAATTCCTTCAGATCAAATACTCTGTCATCCCTCCCTTTTCCATACAGATAAGCAGAGTTACAGACATAAATAAGAAGCTCACAGTATATGTCTGCAAAATTACTGCATTCAAAACCAGCATTTTCCACAGAGTTCACTGAACAGAATTGCACCGAAGCATTCTGAGCATTCCTGTACCTCTTGATAAGCATTTGCAGGACATCAGTCAGGCTTTCCATCAGAACAATAACTTCAGCATAGGTTAAGTCTCCGCAAGGCTTGCCATTGATAGACACCACCTCATCTCCCTCACACAGTCCAGCCTTAGCTGCTTTGCTCTTGCTGCGAACCTACAATGAATCAAAAACAAATTCCATATTGTACAATTAGTATTCATTTGGAAAGAATGACAACCATGTCCTCAATTTACTTTTTCCTGTACAAAAGAATCAGTTTTCTGGATCAGAAACAAATTCCTAGTAACACAAATCAATAACTTGTCCTACTTGAGGTTAATACTATTCTGGTCAGTAATAAAAAATACAAAAACTTCTGCTTTACTGAGATTGTGAGCTAGATGACAAACAGGCTGGCTTTTTTTTTTTTTTAAAGTGAGAGGTAGAAGTTTGGTACAACAATCAATTGATCAGACTTTAGCAGAAATGCAAAAAATCTCATTAATTTCTCCCAGAATGAAAGACTGCTAGAGCTGAAATCTACAACAAGATTTTAAAAGAAGAATGTCTGACTTCAGGCTCCTCTGGGCAGAATGTCAGTATCTACATGTTGTTAGAGCCATAGGTACACAGACTTCTGATATACTGGACACTTTTCCTTAGATGCCCAACTGTATGTTTAGTAGCCAAACTATAAACATCTGAATCACTGGAGATCCTAAATCCATGTTTAGTCATCTGAGTAAGTACTCTGATTTATTGAAGTTAACACTTGTTATGGTTTATTGCACTCTGTTAAGTATTCATTCAAGAATCTTATGCAGCTTGGTTTTTGCTGTTTCACTCCTCTTTCTACGGGCAGCATGTTATAACTTCTCAGAGTCTTTATATAACAAAACCTAGACAGTTCTAATACCACTCAAGGTATGCCATAGAGTTGACTGCTATTTTTAAAGTACATATTTGGCAAACAGTATGTTATATTAACCAGGATGCTTGCAGGAGTCTATTTTAGAATGACACATACACATAAAAGGGCTGTCCTTGGGTTCTTTGCTCTAAACCTTCTACCTGTTGGTGTGAGTACTTTGGCCTTACACGACTTGCAGTTGATGGGCAAACACATTATGCTTGTCAATCCTCTTAGCATTTGCTTGAAATTTTTTGAAATTGTATAGTTCTACCATACTCACTGCAGCAGAGTCAGTCCCCACTGACTTGAGAAAAGTTACTTCTGATATACACCAGATTTGAGGGTGCAGTTGTCCCACGAATTCATGGAATTATCCCCAAGATACTATTAGGACACTGGGCTGGTACCCAAGATGCATTTCTGGAGGCAATTTTGATAAGTTTCTTGGAGTCAAGAAGATACGTGGAATAAGGAGTGAGACTGCCTGGTTTTCTGTGGTAGGGCCATATATCTTTGTTGTTTCAATTTATACATACCCATATGTCATATTGTGATTTTTTGAGCAGTGAACAAACAGAAGCCTAGTGCATATAGAAGCCAGTTTCTACCTTGCAGAATTAACATTTGCAAATATGGAGTGGTATGCTGCTCTGTTTATCTCCCCTTAGGCAAGAGTATAAACATCCTTGTACTTCGGGAAGAAATGACAGTTCAGACAATGTTTAGAATGTTTTGCTTTATATATGAGCTAGGTTGAGTTTTTGTTGGTTTTTTTTAATAGTAGGGTATGCTATTAAAATTTCATAAGACGTCTTTGATCTGAATGTAAATATTTCATGTGGATGCTAGGAAGAATTTAGAGTGATCAGAACGTGTAAACAACATTTATAGCAACGTGTGAATTCTGAAATAGCATGATGTGATACTTAGATTGTGGGAAGAAAACTTGTTCCTGTTTCTTTATTAAGTGTCAGAGAATTTGGAGTCAGTTCTGTCATAGATTACCACTGCAGCTGCCACAGGAGATAAACTGTTACCCATTCCATAACTTCAGTGGGTTAGTTATATCAAAAAGCAGAAGTATGAATATGCCATGTTAATAGGGCTACATGAATTGCTAGACAGCTCAAACAGTTTCATAATTTTTTAAAGAGATTCCTTGCTAGCATTCAAAGAAAATAGAAAAGAGCATTGAACTTCCTTTTAAAGCTGTTGAAAGACATCTCAGTTCATTGTGAATTGTTGAAAGATCACAATTGTGAGATATTTGGACCTTCATAAAAAAATCTGCCCGTTCTTTAATTGGTCATGCAGGACAGAGATTAATGTAAGTCACTATACCTCACTTTATGGTAGCATTTCAGTTCATATGCACACTAGAGGAAATTTCCTGACAGTATTATATTTCCAGGTTTTCCACATAGATCAAACCTTTAACATGATTTTGCCATTGCAGGATCACACTGCACATGCTGTATTGTGTTAATGGTTCTTCTGACTATATGTCAACCTTTTACCCATGCTCACCCAGAGGCATCTGTGCCTCTCAAATTTGAACAATGTCTATATAAAATCACCTCAGAATTTTTTTTTTCTGTTGGTGCAATAAATGGGAGGAGAGAGCACTGACAAAAAGTGAGCAGGTCCACATTGTATAGTAAATTATAGCAGGTTGTTGCTAGGGTAGAAATATACCATCATCATTTGTGTTATTTTAGCCTCAGAATTTCATCATGTAACTCAACGATATGTAGATTGCCTTGCCAGGCAAGCTGTAATTGTTTCTGGTTTAGTTTGTTTGTCTTTGTCTTGTAGGGCCCCTTCAGGTACTGCAAGGCTGCTATAAGGTCTCTCCACAGCCTTCTCTTCTCCAGGCTGAATACCCCCAACACTTTCAGCCGGTCCTCGTAGGGGTCGTGCTCCAGCCCTCTGATCATCTTTGTGGCCCTCCTCTGGACCTGCTCCAACAGCTCCATGTCCTTCTTATGTTGGTAGCTCCAGAGCTGTGATGCAGTACTCCAAATGGGGTCTCACAAATGTGGAGTAAAGGGGAGAATCACCTCCCTCAACCTGTTGGCCACACTTCTTTTGATGCAGCTCAGGATATGGTTGGCTTTCTGGGCTGTTGGTGCACCTTGCTGGCTCATGTCGAGCTTCTCATCAACCAACAGCCCCAAGTCCTTTTCTCAATCCATTCTCCACCCAGCCTGTATTTGTGCTTGGGATTGCCCCAACTCACATGCAGGACCTTGCACTTGGCCTTGTTGAACTTCAAGCAGTCCACATAGGCCCCTCTCAAGCCTGTCAAGGTCCCTCTGAATGGCATCCCTTCCCTTCAGCATGATGACGACATCACAGATCTTGGTGTCATCAGCAAACTTGCTGAGGGTGCACTCGATCCCACTATCCATGTCACCGACAAGTATGTTAAACAGCGCTGGTCCCAGTACCAAACCCTGAGAAACACTATGTGTCACTGGTCTCCACTTGGACATCGAGCTGCTGGCCGCAACTCTTTGAGTCCAACCATCCAGCCAATTCTTTATCTCCCTATTGGTCCATCTGTCAAGTCCATGCCTCTTCTGTTTAGAGACCAGGATGTCATGTGGGACAGTGTCAAGTGCTTTGCACAGGTCCAGGTAGATGACACATGTTGCTAATCATATATCATCAGTTCTCCTATCTGCTTTGGGCTGGAGGTTTTTTTGGGAAGAAGAAGTGGTTTTTTTCCCATTACATTTGTGAAGGGGATCTCACTACTAGAAAAACATGTTTGTAAAAATTTTCTTAAGTTTTTCAGTGCTTGCAGTACCAGTATAATCAGCGATGCTGATTCTGTACTGTTAGAGCTGAACTTGTCAAGACACCAGCTGCTCCAGGGGTGTGTTGAAAGTGCTTTTAGCCCATTTTCCCCTGGTATTGCTTTTCTGCTCCTGATCAGTCAGGACTCTTGCTTTTTATCACTCAAGTTATATATCATGCATTTGTTAGAAGGCTTTGGTTTTCTTCAAACCACAAAATTTCTAATGAAATGGCAATGAAATGTTTACCCTGAATTCCAAAAGTTTTAAGGAAATCACTGTACAAGTTATATTGGCATTGCAGCAATACTCACCTCGGTCAGTGCTGTGCATCTTCTGCCCATAAAGAATTTTAGATTTCTGAATTTTTAACAGTATTAAAGTGTTGTATCAAAATAGTTGTACATAAATCTGACATTAGACTTCAGGTTATTCTGAGCTATTTGTTATAATATTCTCTAATTTCAGGTGTTTAGATTGCTGTTGCTAGATTGTATGAAGAACAGTGCTGGATTACTTGGATGATTTACCTGAAATATGTGATTTCTTTTTGTTCCCAGATTACTCCTGTATCCAGAATTTCCCACTAGCAGGAGTGTCCCTTGCTGTTTAAAATGTCAAGTGCTAAGCAATTCCTCATATCCACAGAGATGTTAATCTTAGGGTAAACTTCCTTTGTGAAGAACTTCGCCTGGATGCTCGCTGTTATCTGAGTATCATGGAGGAGTCAAACCCCACTGTGAGCAGCGCAGCGCAACCCACACAGGCAGCAGCACCACTGCTCCCTGGGACAGAAAGCCATGGGGGCTGGAGGAGGGCTCCTCACCCTCTCACCTGGCATCTGTTCACAGCTGCTGCTGCAAGGAGGGACTGTAGGCTGTCCACAGGCTCTTCAGGAGAGTCTGTAAAGACTTGGGCTGGAAACTGTGAGTGAGAAAGGTCTGGGTGCTGTGATACACTGGTGAGAGACCACATCCCAAATGCACTGGTATGTGGGGAGAAAAGTGTGGGATAGTAACTTACTGTGGTAGTAGCTGTGGGATGCTGCTGGCGCTGGAATATTCATGGGTAGCTGCAGCACATGGCAATTTCAGTCAGTTTCTTAACCAGTGAAAGGTGAATAAACTGAGGAATACACGGTGGCTGTGCTTATGCTTCTGTGGGTCAAAGGAAGGGTTTTGTAGGAAAAGCTAATGCTGTGTGCCCAGCCTCTGTGCTGTGTATGTTGTAGTGTTTTTACTTTTAGACTAGCTCTAGCCTCATTCTGTCACCTGGAGACTCCTTGCCAGGTAGCATGTATGAGATCTGCTCCTTTGATTTAATCTGAAAACATTAGTTTGTACAACCCAAAACTGTTCCATGCTATGAAACAACATATGATAAATCAGGGTGATAGGGACACTTGCTTCAAAAAACGGAGTCCTGATGCAGCTAAAAAGCTAAAGTAGATGCACCTGTTACTTGTTGTGACTGCAAGTGGATACACAGACAGCAACTGGGGCTCAGCTTACCAGCTGATGATCTTGGTTGTGTATTTGAGCTCTATAATAAATAAATCAGATAGCTGAGGTATGTTGAACCTGATAACAAGGTCAATGGGTTGTAGCTTAAGGCAAGACAAATGGAATCGAGGACACTCTGCACTCCTAATCCTTCAGTTATGCAGCTAAGAAATTATTGGGCTATTTCTTAGTCTTGGCTTTACCAGTGAATTTTGGAAAGGATGACATTTATCTTAATCTTACTCTGATGTACTGCTAGGAGTACACACCTGTATCTGGGTTCTGCATCTAAGTGGTGTGCTTCAGATACAGCCTGACTGAGCAATCAGGCTCAACGATTGCTGAGCCTGACTAAGCAACTGATCTGAGAAAATGAGCAATCTGTAAGATTATAAGACTTATGTCATTTTAAAGTGTACATGTAATTGCACAACGATATTCTCAATTCAAAGCAAGCTTTCCAGACTGTGAGTTATGCTCACAACTATTTATGGAACCTTTTCTCATTTTGCCAGCAGCTTTTAGACAACAGAACAGAAAATACTGCCACTGTAGTGAGAATATACTTCCCAGTTATTTAAGGTCCTTTGCTTATATACACAAAGTAATTTCTTTCCTTGAGGAAAAGCCTATTCAGTTGGATATCCTATCTCATTCCTGAAGCCCTCAAGGCTTGAAGCCAGTTTCAGTGAACCTTATTTGCAGAGGTAAGTTCTCAGTGAAGCTATTGTTTAAAGTGTTAGTCTGGAGTCTTTGATGGCCAGCCTTGTGTTTTGTTATGATGAAACATGTTGCTCAAAATAGCATGGTTTACCTGGCAAATGGGATTTCCCTAGATCACTTGTCTGTTTTCATTGTTGTTTACTACATTAATTATGTCAGCTGCAAACTTTATCAGCAGTGACTTTGTGTTTTCTTTTAGACTGATGATTAAATATCAGTAACAAAGAGTGAAGGATGCTTAACAGCGATATGTTCTTTGACTGCTGTTGTGCCTCTGCTGAATAAGTATTTCCAATTTAAAGTTACTTTCTCAGACCCAACAACTAGCCAGCTTTTAAAGCAGTATTTTTTACTACAGTAGCAAACTGTGCCCTTAGATGTCTTGCCATCATCAATAATGCAGAACTGTGTTTAAGAAATATCTATTAAATAGTCCTTTTAAATTAAAATAATAATTAAACTTTATTTTGGGATTACAACCCTTATTCTATACAATCACCTCAGTCTCACCATTACCTAACAGAGTTTTGTTCACGTGTGCTAGGTCTTCTACATTTTTCCCCACAGAAGTGGTGACCTGTTTTCTGTTTAGAAGAAAATAATCGGTCTAGGTCTTTCCAATATACAGAAATTGTGTAATAATTTTTTATTCCATAAGCAAGTTCCACCTAACTGCCAGTTAACATGACTTACTGCATGTAACACTAAGATTTTCAGTATCTTTCTTCAGGAATTGTCTGGCAGGTAGCTGAATAACCATTAGCAGATTTTAGTATGAGGAGGTTTCTAAAGCCTTTTTATATTATTTCCCCGGCTTATGGCATGTGATCCTTACACTAGTTTGAGATGGGAATATGCAACTAGGTGGTAAGCCCAGTTAAAACTTCTCACTTGTTTCACACTTGTAAGCACAAGAATCACGTCTGTCTATTTGTGTTTCTGGATACAGAAGTACATTCTGAATGAAATGGCTGTTTATATGGGGGTTTTTAGTTTTCCAGAAATAGTGATTCTCTTATTGTTGGAAAAAAATACAGGTCTGAGCATAGGACAGGATATCTGGTTTCTTAGATGCAACTATTCTATTGTATTGTCAGAGAGATAAAAAGGGGAATATACCAGAAATAATAGGTATCAGTATGCAGAAAAGGGGAGTGGGGCTACGAGTGTGAAGACACTGTCTCTCCTTTCTTTGTTGATACAAGTATTAAAGCAACAAGAGTTTGAGGCACTCTTTTTTATAAGTAATGTTCTCCATAAAACAAACTACTTAAAATTCTAACATTTTACATCCTGAATACAGATCTGATGTTTCTGAATCTAAATCTTTTTGGATACAGTCAGATATCTTAACTTTAAGAGAAGGTAAAATTAGGTTTAAAATCTGAGTTAAAGGGACTATGTACTAGAAACAACAAGGAAGCCAACTGACTTGAATATGACATCTTCTTGGCCATCAAAGAGGTGGTGATTCAAAGTGATTCAAAAGACAGGGGCAGTGGTGAAATAATTCAAAATCTAAGAAATTAAACAAAGCTGTATTCTGCTTGCTGACAAAGTGGCAAATAGTACTACATATGAAGTGCACAAAGTATGTGTGAAACTCAGCTTTGCCACTTAACTAAATGCAATGAGGTATTGCAACAATTAAAGGTCTTCCTGCTAGTTGCTGCAATAAATTTAGTTTGCTAACATGTTTCTTTTAATCTGTTTAAGTTCAGCATAAATAACTTAATGTAAACAATATTTAGTTTAATTTTATCAGGCATTAGATCATGCTTTTCAGAAGTTACATTTCTTGTTAATTTATTAGCTAGGTGCTAGTTATGAAGTTCAGGATCAGGGATCAAAGATCAGTGTTTCCTGTAGACAGTATTAAAAGAAAAAAAAGAATTCTAATAGAATTAACAATGTACAATGCTTTATTATGAGCAGGAAGCAGAAGCACTGAGTGGCACAATTATTAATGTGTTAGTGTTTCTAGTTGTACAAAATTAGGGAATTACAAATGAAGTTACAAATGAATTCAGGTAGATTATAAACTGTGGCTCTAGGGCCTTGTTTTACAATGTTTATGCATGCAGGAATCCTTTAGACAAAGAAGTACCCTTCAGTGAGTAAGCTTTTTGAGTTTCAGATATTAACGTCCATACAGTATGTTAAGCCTACCTTATAATGGGTTTGGTTTTTTTAGATCTCTGTAGATCCTTTAAATAGCTCACAGACTTCAGGCTGGTAAACACTGATCTTGCTAAATCACCATCCTGAGTCTTATCTCACAACTCAGCTCTAACCAGCATTTGCCAGTGCTCCTCAGTCCAGAGTACCAGCCCTTCTACCGACAATGTTCTGAACCTTCCCAGGCAGGTGACGGGACGCGTGTGA